AGGTAGATCATGATAGGTTTGTTCCAGGTAACAAAATATTTTTCCTATTCTCCTGGTGGATGATGTTTTGAAGCTCAATTGAAGTTCAAAACCAACAGCTACCCAGAAAGGTCCAAGGATTGTAGTAGGAGGATGTCAACAGGAGCCTAAAGGTATTTGCAGGGAAGGGTGTGGCTACCCTATTCAACAACAACATTAAAGTTTAGGAATATTGCCACTTCCTATAGCAGCAAGAGAGTTTTATCTTTCATAAGCTGAAAGTATTTCTATTTCATACCAAATTAATCCTTTGGAGCAATAGCTTCCATGAATTTATTTTATTCTGTCAGTTTCAGAGAAGACAAGCAAGAGATAGAGTATAAAGTGATTCATTCATAGAAACTCATCAAAACTTTCAACTCCTTCCAGCATCTTAAGTTTCTAGATTTCAAATCTGCTTCACTTAACCCCAAATCCCAGACATCAAGTTGTTTTGTCATTCATTATCAGGACAGAGAGCAAAGAAATCTAATGATTGGGAAGACATTAATTAGGTTGGAAAGACAGATCATTTGCTAGGTTGCAGAGCCGCCTGAGTTTGACAATCACCATGAAGGAAGAATTGTAATAAACATTCAGATATTCAATTTGGCTGTATATGAGTCTTAAATCTCACCCTCCTTCATCCACATGCTTCTACCTCAAATACCATACATTAAGTAAATGAATTTAACCTAAATTACTAAGATAGCTACTTGGAGATTTCAACTGGAGGGGTGGACACAGCCTCAGCATAAACTGAGGAAAGTGTCTCAGTCTTTTAATTTGTAAATATCCTGTGCATTCCCTGATCTGCTGCATGGCTGTTTGGCTGAATGATTATTGCACAAGTGAAAGAATTTACTGGCTTCAGGATAGCATTTGTTTGGAATTTTCATCTGTGTGTGTGTGTGTGTGTATGTGTATAAAAACTAAAGCTGACACAAAAGTGAAGATTCCAAATGGTTTTGAAAATTTAGTAATAGAAATAGTAAAAACTAGCTCTATCAAAAGCCACAATTTAAATCTCCTTGACCTCCAAACTGTTTGGAAATGATACTAGTAGAGCTGTTACTAGGTAATGGGAGCTGTGTCCACAGATGGAGGTGGACTTGGATGGGAGATCCCGGGTTACCCTCAAACTCTGACGCAAGCCACTGTGCACCCCTAAGGATCACTGACCTCTGCTGCACATATTTCAGAAGCTCTTATCTGGAATGAGTAAAATGCTTGAAATATATAAAAGGTATCATGCAAATATCTATTTGTTAAAATATGGCTTTTGTTTAGGTTAACTTTAATAAGAAAAGTAAATATGCTCATTTCCATGACTGAGTCTTAGAATGCAAGAAAATTCTCATGCATTAGGCCCCTCCCTGAGCAGTTAGATGGACAATAGTATGATTTGTTTTATAGACACAATGAGGGGAATGAACGCGATTTAGCCTTATCCTCTTTTTAAACTGTGAATTGATAAACTGTGGACCTGAGGAAAAGGAAGTTAACTGAAGCTATAGGGAAGCTTAGCATAGCCAGCTTCTAATTGGCTGCCTTTTTGGACATTGTGGCCATTGGACTATTTGAAACATGATAGCCGTTTTTGTTGTTTTTTTTTTTTTTTCCTCCTTTTGTGATCAAATGGGATTGGCACATGGACATTTTCATTAGTCTGAAGAAGTTTCTTATTGTCACTACAGAATATAGTAACAAAGATCCAGGCAGCATGCCCTAAAATCTTCTCTCTGATACATGATTGTGTATGGAGGGAAAAGGAAATATCGTACTGCTTGGTTGTGCGGCCCCTTCAACAAGGAATAAAGTGGTCAACAGAATGAGTAGGCGGAAGATGATTCAAGAACAGATAGTGTGACAAAAGCAACAGACAGACAAGATGGTCATGGGGTCCACTGAACACATTCCTAAATTAGCACAACTGTCATAATAAGATGAAAGGTGCTGGTCCAACAGACTGAAGCATTAGTCTGCTGATCAACACTCCCAGGTGTCCACAGAGTAGCATTTTTATTGCAGTATGTCTTTCATGGAAAATGGACAAAACTTTAAATAAATCACAATTACTTATTGCTTAGTATTTTGAATAATAAATTCTTTAGTTTATCAGTACCTCACGGCCTTCAAATGTGCATTCTTCAAATAGTTTCAATTACATATACATTCTTTCTCCTGAACAATAAATTATTCTTAAAAAAAAAAAAAGAAAAAGAAAAAGATACATAATTTTAAAGCAAAGGAAAACAAAAAACCATATATTTTTGACATTTATCTTAAACTTATATGAAAACAACTCTCTCTATATGTTAGATGCTTAAATATAAATAATAAAGGACATTATGTTATTTACAATGTTACACAGTAAGTTGAGAGAGTAAAAACTAACATTAACTCATAAAGACAGTAAATGAATTAAGAAAACATCCAAGTAATGTACAATATGTATTTACAAAAGAATATATAATAGAACTTGTGATATGTGGCCATTTCCTTTTGTCTGCATTTCTCTGCTTTGTTTCACAGGTCTTTGAGGATAGAAATCTCCATGGCTGGTGGAATATAGCCAGTACTAAAAGATAAGACCAGGCCTTCCTTATTTCAACCAATGTGAGCCATGCACTCTTCAACCCCAGGCCAAAAGAAAAACAAAGGAATAGTTACTGAGCAAGTTACCCTGGATAAACCCCACCTACATCAAGATAGTCACACTGAAACAAGAAAGAGATAGCATGTTACTATTTGGAACACATTCACCTACACAGAGGGCCATTTTGTAGAAAGCAGAAGGTTGCCCAGGCAAACTTGGGGTGGAGGATGGGGGGAGGGACAGAGGGACAGAAAAGAGTAAGAGGGACAGAAAAGGAACCTTAAGTGCAAAAAAAGGAGTTTTGCATATATTATGCTCCACTATATACTCTGCAGTGGGATATGATTTCAGACCCAGGAAATAAAGTTGCTGTCAAATTCCCGGGCAATTTCTATTACCTTAAAACCCAAGATTTCTTTCCATATACTGGGAACATAGGTTCACACTCCTTTGGATTACCACTGCACTGCCTGAACTTAGAAACTGGGATGGTTGAGAGTGATGTGGCAATAAAGCATCACAGAGATGTCCCTGTGAACATAAATCTAGTGGCCATTGCAGGTAGCCCTGAGCAGTCAGCTGGCCTTTCTTATCAAGAGAAGCTCTTGTTCTATGCATGGAAAGGCTATCCCAGCTAATATGCTACTTCTACCAGTGACCAGGATCAAGTTTGAAATAAAATTTCCTCTTGTCCTAAATTTTTACGTGTATTTTCAATTTGAAAATTTACAGCAATTCTCACAGTGAGGAAACTGTTGCTCATTGTTCTCAACAGAAGATTCTATTCATTGTTGAAATTTTCCAGAATGGGACATGTGAATACCCCAATGCCCAAAGAATTTAAAACAGAATTTCTAGGGTTTTTAGTTTATGGTAGCAGTTTCTTTATTGAAACAGCTAAGAATATGTCAAGGCCTTAAAGGGCAATGTTAAAATGATTTTGAGAACCTCTTTGGGCTGACTGTCTTCTTATCATGCTGTGAGCTTACTCATTTCTGCAGAACTCGGAAGTCGGTGCAACCTGACAGGGGCTCCTCAGTGTAGGTTAAAATGCACAGGAGGACACCACTGAACACAGAGAAGGTGGCATGTGACAATGATGGAAAACTTGGGGTACCAAATGCTATGGGTAACATCAAGCACCTGCAGACAGGCAGCTCTGTGGACGGCAGAAGCATGTGGGAACATGACAGCATGACTCGTGCCAAGCCTGCATTTTTCCACTAAGACCCACTTGCGTGTCATTTCTTACCCTTTATTTTTAACATAAAGATTTGGTGAAGAAATACATTCATTTTACCTCCAAAGAAGAAGCGATCCCTCTTACTGATATCATGAACGCCTTGCTAACCTGTTTCCCATTCTGTCCCATGGCTCCTAGAAGGCCACTTGGAACTTAAGTAAAGCTCTAGCCCTGATTGGACAGATAACAGGCAGGGCAGGAAATGGGTTCCGTGTTTTAAAAAAATTCTCTTATTTTCCTGAATTCGCAGTTATGTCAAATATTAATAGCTATAGGCCTTCCTTCGACTGACAATCATAGGAGAACATGCAACGTTTAGAACAATATTAGTCTTGCTTTGTGACAGTAAAGCAAAAATTAAGAGAAGAGGAAAAATGAGGGATACAGGTTGGAAATGGAGAGGTCAGGACACATGTGGGGGTCACTTCTGCAAGTAAAGGTGCAATCTTTCCAACACACTTGACGTTTCCTGATGAATCATTACCTGTGGAAAGTTCTTACTAATCACAAATCACATGCACATTGACCATTCCTGACAAAAATGTTCATGCATAGTTATGACCTAATCAAGGCAACATGGAAACACAAGAGAAAAATCATGAGGGAGAAAAGGAGTGGTCAAAAAAACTTCAAAATTTCAACCGAGTCACCAAGCTGTTCTTCGCCTATACAGTTATTCCTTCTAAGCACTCTACAATGGAAATAATTGCCTACAGTGACAAGTCACCACTATGTACAGCAGGCACATTTTATGCTATAAGTATTTCAGACAAATTGCTGCGTGTGCTGTCTGGGCTGGGCTTTTTGTGCCGTAATATGCTTCTTCTTGAGCTGAGAAGACACAACCAATCACGAGTTCCAAAAATCAGTGAAAAATACAAGTCAGAAATGATTGCACCTTTATCAGCTGTGGTTTGATCTCCAACTAGGTGAGCTGCTGGATCATTCCCCCAGAGAGAAAGTGAAATTCAGTCCTCTTGGAAGGTGTTAGATTTACTCTAGTAGCAAGCCAGAACCCATTTTCTAAGCTATCCCTAAAACTGTTGCTTTTTTTGCAAAAAATATTCAAATAAAGTAAATGGTAGCTCCTTTTCAGTAAGAGCAAGCTGTCTTCTGATTAATAATATATTTTTTTTTGTAAAATCACAGTATTACTTTCTTCCTAATATTTAACATTACTTAATGCAGTTTCCTGCTGTATTTAATAGTAGCATGCTGTTGGATCTACTATTATCTCAGAGCCCAATGAAGCAAACCTTTGGCTGGCAGAGTAGACATAACTCATTTCATATTCTGAAAGCAAAGATAACTTTGTACAAAAGAGGAGTACTTGGATGGATGTGCCGTTACAAGACATACTGGTCAGGTGCTACTACAAGCAATCAGAGGGACAGTTGCAAGTCTTGCAAATCATACATCCAGTCAACATCATAATGCAATGCACAAGAAGCCAGCAAAAACGGAATATATGGGAGGTTTTGCTGAAATACTGTGAAAAAGCAATCACTTTAACTGTACAAAACTTGCTCTCGACATAACATAACATAAAGGCACCATTGATATCTTTCTCGTTTTGAAATACTGTAAAAAATTGCTACATATGGCACATAACACATTTTTACATACATATATTTAATTTATAAAAGTTTTTTTTTCCTGTTTTCTATTTGCAGAACTGCTAAAATAAAATAAATTGTTTAATTTAAGGTGGAATACTTTATTATATAAAATAAAGTTTTACAGGTGAATCTATGTGTTTATTTAGGTTTTATACAGCAATAGGGTCTTGGTTAGCGATTACACTAGACAGCCTGGCCTGTAATTCTTCCTGTGTTGAGAAGCGGCCTGCTGGGTTAGTCCTGCTCTCAGCCAGCCGGAAGGCAGGTGCTGCCTCAAGACTGGCTGCCAGGGGGTTCTGTATGCCCAGGAAAGGTGTATCTTCTCCTACTCTTTCGTCTTCTGTTTCGCTCTCTGAGTTACTGCTCTCGGAGCTTGTGTTGCATTCCATTTCCAACTTGTTGGCAATGTGGCCATTGGGCTTGGTTCTTTTGGCCCGCCGGCTGTTGGCGAGTTTCTTAACAGGCTCTTGAGCTGGTTCATACTCCTGGGTCGTCTCATACTCCTCATCCTCCACTATCCGCAAGGGGCTGGGAGGAAGGCTGTTACTCTCATGCGCCGGGTTGTGGTGGAAGGAGCTGAACTGCGGAGGGTGGTGTTCATACTTCTTCTCCCGCAGCCTGGGTGGTGTCACGAGAAGCAGAGGTCTCTCTTCTTCCACCAAGGGGCTGACTGCCACGGAAGGCATGGACACCGTCATGCTGGACGCGGGTGGAGACATTTCCGAAGGGGGTGATTTGGGGGAGCTTGGCGTGTGGAACTCTACAGGTGACATACGTGCCGGGGTGGTCATGGCTGACACATACCTGTGTGAGCACAGAATACCCCGCATGAGTGTGGTGGAATCAGAAGGCACAGAGCAGGGAGGGTGGGGGGACAGAGTTCAAGATATCATATAATCAGAGAACAGAGAATTTCTACTCATTGACTACTTCTCAATCTTTTACACTAAAGACATTGAGCACCCTTGGAATCTAAAATTATAAAGCCAAGAGTTTCCTCACAAAAACACATGCAAAGAGCAGCGACATGGCCTAGCTCATCAGAGCTTTGGGGATTTTCAATCTCATTGCGATTTTAAACAAAAGCACATGAGCCAAGATAGGAGGGTATTAGGTCCTGGAAACCTCTCAGCTTATAAGGACCAAGGCTCAGGGATTCGGAATGGAAAGAAGTATTACTTAAATACTATACCTTCCTAAAGGCCAAGGGGTCTTAGAGAATGAAGCCCAAATGGGGAATGGAAGAAGATCTAAGATGAGTTGCTGATAGCTGGATCTGCATGCATTTGGGTCTGTGTGCCTTGTTTCTCCTTAGCCCAGCTATAAGGTTATGTCTTATGAAAAAAAAAGAGCATAGCAACTTAGATTTATTCCTGGTAACAGTGTAATACATTTGTGTGCTTTTCATTTTTTCCACGAAATGCTACTAGTTAACATTCAATTTGCAACTATCCATCCCAGTGTCCAAGACCGTTCAAGGTAAGCCTGAGAGAAGCTTATGCTGGCTTCATAGTTCCCATGATGGAGGCTATGTCCAATCTTTGGTTTACCGTTCTTCCAAAACCCACAGCTACATCAGTCTTTGGTTAATCAAGGATTGGCTGGACCGTGTTACTTTTTGTCATGTTCCATCTGCTAATACTCAGTGAATCTTGTCATCAGGACACTGAGCACATTGTTTTCATCAGACCCTGCTTTCTTCCTAAAAATAAGAAGGCCTGACTTTTGGCACTGAGAAAGATGTGGCTTATTCAGAATCACATTTCTAAGCTTTTGACAAAAATGTTACCAACGTATAGCACTGGGTGACTCTTTTCTTCACATTGACATTCACGGAGTCTAATTTGACGTGACCTGTGATGACAAAGGACACCATCCTCTGAACTCCACTAACAGGAACCCTCTGAACTTCCCTGCTTTTCTGAGATTCACAGTGATATGAGTGTGAGACCCAGCTGTCTCTAAAATGGGAAAGTGTCTTGGAAATTGAAATATTTGGGGCTCGAATCTTTAGACTTTTTGCTTTGGGGGGTACTTAAATTAAGCTCTCTGAGAAACACTAAGTCAAATTCAACCAACACGTAAAAGTGACTCATCTCTTCTCTCTACGATCTCTAAGTTCAGGTACATTGTGTGTAATATCCAGGACAGGTAAGGAAGTCTACCCCAGCAGGGAAACTGTCAACCTTCCAGGATAAATATCACATGTAGTGATGATGAAACATTTCATCTCTAGCCTCCTTTCACATTTCAAAAAAGACTGAATTAGGATGGATGGACTTCCTTAATACATACAGATATAATTACATGAATTTAAGACTAATAACATTCATCAGAAATCAAGCAGGTGGGAAGGGTCCTCAGCAAGCATGGATGCCATCTCTCTAATGTTACGACTGAGGACACCGAGCCCCTGAGTGGGCCTGAGCCTACAGCCAGAAGCGGAAACGCCATCTGCTGCACCTTCCACATCAAATCATCCCAGCTCTTTAAGAGTCTGTTGCCTGCCAGCCGCTGAGACGACGAGAGGAGCTCAGGAGAATTGAATTCAGTCGAACGAAAAGACGATTGCATCGACTAGGGGCCACTCCTAGAACGGTAACTGCCGCCCCTTATTCTGATCAGAGCAGACTTCCTGAGGTGCTCACGGGTATCCTCTTACTGAGGTTCTCCTCTGCAGTGGCTTTGCACTTCGCTTTTACCTTTCACTGTGAGGAGAGTCTCGGTAGGAGTCAGGGGTTTCTCTGGCATGCCTGAGGAAGCTGTTACATTCACGAGGGCCTCCCATGCCATTTAGACGTCCTCTTGGGCCCCCCGTGGGGCTGCTGTGCCTACTGTTTTCTACTGATGACATCACGATTACAGAGTGGCTTTCCGAAAGGATGCTTTCAGTATGTCCGTTGCTCCAGCTAGGGCAGAAATGTGAAAGGCAATGATGCACATATATTTTTAAAATTATTTGCAAACATGGAAATGAAAGGAAGTGATTCTGACAAACATTTCAAATGATCGATGCAGCAGCAGCTCACTACAACATGACTTGTCTCAGAATGGAATAGTTACAAAGACATTGGACATAGAAAAAGGGTCTTTATTCAGATTGGCTTTACAAGGATACAATTTATTCATTTGTTCACTCAATAAATATTTATCAAATGTCACTCTGTACTAAGTATTCTTACGGACTCTCTATTCTAGAGTGGCTTAGGTTAAACAGACACGTTGCCTAGTGTTGCTCTTGGTAGAATGCACTAAGAGAAAGACCATCAAGACATTTGAAAACTTAGGGTTCAGCTATTTAACCAATTCTTATGTGCATTTCCCAGGGCAATCCAATTATTGGAAGAAGTCAACTTCTAAGTATTATAAAGAAAAAGAACCAAAGACAGACTTTTCCCAGTGTAGCAAGATAATCTCTGCAAAGCGAAACAGCATTGCTATGGGGTATTATTATCCCATGGTAATGGAAACATCGAGGCTCAAATTTATACAAAAATTAAAGGCAGAGCCAGTTGATGTTCCAAGCATTGATGTCCGAAGACTATACATTTCACAGTCACATTAAATGTTTCCCGTTGCTTTCTTAGGCAGCGATGGCAAAAGGTAACGTGCAAAAATTCATTCTTAAGAGAAATGCCATGAAATATTTTCATTCTCGTACCTGTGACTAGGAGTCTGGGTGACAGTCGTGGAGTGATGAGCTGTCGAGGTATAGTGACTGGTGGAAAAGGATGTCTCTGCTTCTCTCTCGACAATTTGCTCACTAGAGATGACGTTTTTAGATACATATTGCTAGATAAACAAAGAGACACAACTTCAAGATTCATGTAGATCAAAACACTGACGTTGTCACACACACACACAAAAATCTATTCTTATACACGTGCTTTGTAATAAACTCCATTTCTCCAATGGCTGGATGGAAAATCCTGTCCTGGCTACTCTGGCTTTTAGAGCGGATGAATGGAGTTAATAAAATACTCTCCGATGTGCATGCAATGTAGGTCCCACAATCCCAAATACATTTTATTAGCAAAAGACCTATTTCTTCTATTTCATTTCCAATTGATACCATGACTAGATTTCAGTACAAATATCTGTTCAACATTCATTTTTTTTTCATGGTTGTTGCAAGTTGAAGAAGGCTAACAGATATTTGAGTGAAACGAAAGCATAGAAATGGTTTGTCTTATTTCAAATTTCAAGTCACTAGAAAATTTTTTTAAAACCTCTATATTTGGAGTCTACCTTTCTCTTTCAATTTCCTAGTTCCCATGTTGCTCTACTGATACCATTGAAGATTTTAACTTGTTATCAGTGGCAAGACTATCAAGGCTACTGAGAAATTTGAGGGACTTACAATGGTGGTCAAGGGCACATATCTTGAGAAAACACATAATATACAGCACATCATAGATAGAGGGCCTTATATTTAGTGCAGGTATCTAGTTTATTTACATCAGCAGTCCACAGTAGCTGTTACTGCTTTCTATTAGTGAGAGAGGCTCATTTTGAAGTTGTGTTTTATTAATAAATGCTGTTAATATTTATACTAAACCAAATTAAATAACAGGAAAAGGAATGGAAAGGAATATTCTTTAATGAAATAAGGCACTTTCTTGTCTGATGGTCTGTAGGCTCTAAAGAACCTGATATATTCATCGAAACCCAAAAACATTCAACTTGTATTACTCTTGACACCCTCGCTGGTTCTCTTGGTGGAAGGGCTATTCCATGTGGACTTTCTTGGGAAGCACAGCTAGCTTGATTAGAAGAAAAGATATATAGCGACTGATTTCCTATTCTGGGCACCATTTCACTCTTTTTTCTTGGGAGGCAAAGTAAGCTCAGTGAATCTAATGAAAATAATATTTAACCATCATCAAACATTCAATAAATGCCACTGGATTGTTTTAAGTAGAGTATCTTGTTTAATGGTCACAAGGGGTCTTTAAAGTATTATTTTGATGCCTGTTTTCATAATGAAGAAATGAGGTTGAGAAAGTTTAAGGCCCAGAATCATACACAATTTGAGGCATAACTGTAATCCAAGGGGCCATTCTGCCTTTTATATATTTTAACATACACAGTGACAGATTATAGTTACGTTTGTCATGTATGTATCAACTGTACAGACATTCTGATAAACACTGCTAGGGGAAAGAAAGCAACAAAGTATGTTAACCTATTAGCCCCTTTTCCAATAGTCTCCTGAAGGTCTTTGCTACGAGACTTGCTGGTAGTTGAATAACCTCCAACTCCAGACTTGAATCTGTGATATACCTGCTCCACTCAAAATATACATCCTCTTTCTTTCTATAGGATAGAAAATGGCACTGCAATATAATCTTCAAGCTTTGTGTATTTAAAAAAAAACATACATTAGAGGAAAATGAAGAAAGCAAGAAGGATTATGCTAGAATAGAAAAAGCAATACACCAAAAGCCAGGAGATCTCAGTCCAGCTCTGGCTCTTATCTGTAAAAAAAAAAAAAAAAAAAAACAGAGAGGTTTGGAAGATATCTTAAAACTCTCCAGAATCTAATATTCTTTGATCTAGTTGTATGTAAACACTGAGTGCTGAGTGCTTAGTAAAGTATAAACAAAATATTTGAATGATTACAGATATGTTTCATCTGGAGGGCGTGACATCACGTAGGAAGAGCCGGGCAGTGGGCATGCGTCATGCTCTTCTAGTTTTGCTACTAAGAAGTGTGTGTGATAAACCACTTGACCTTTTCATAACCTAATTTCTTCCTTTGGAAATCAGAATCCGTAAATCACCAGGCACTGTGACGTGCCCCTCATAAAAATAACTCTAAAGCTCTTTGTCTGGTTATCTGTACTAATCAGTTATAGACTGGAGTAGCCTTTTTTTCCAAATTATTAAAAATAAAAAATAAAACTTCTTTCTGATTCTTGTATTCTTAATTTTATTATGAATCAAGAATACCAGTTATGGCCTCCTTGCAGAACAAACCCAACACTATTATTCCAAGCCCTTAATGAACGCTTTATAAGAGCAAATGTGCTTATTTTACAGTAACCAAATCCACTTTAAAAAATGTTCCCATTATTTTCTCCCGGCAAAAACCTGGATTCCTGGAAGCCATGGTGATTAATGGCAGCAGCTAAAAGCCTAAGAGCTTTAGAAAATAAACTTCAAGGCGCCTGAGTAGAGGAAAGATGGAAAGATGCTCAGTTTTTTCCACTGGCCAGAATCAACATACATTCACCAGCTGCACGTTCTCGGGAGGTGGATTGGGATGGTGAGGCCCGTTCGCTATGTTCACCATGTTGTTCCGTTCAGACCGAAGACTCTGCCGAAGCCGGTCATGAAGCTTTTTCCGTTGTTTCCTGGATATAAAAAAGGGAGTATTTATTTTTTTCTGTTATTTACATTTCTTAGTACAGCCAAATCTTTATTCTACCAACACCTGTGAGTAACTAAGGCAGTGGATTGGTGGTAAGGAAGAGGAAGGGAGTGTGTCCACTGTATCCCAAAATAAGTGAGATCACGTATCCATAGCAAATAGATTTAAAAGGCTGTATGGGATTCTTACAGAAATTTAGCTGTTTGAAAGACAAGAAAGAAAAAAAGAGGAGAAAATGAGAAAGTTGATATTTGGCTAAAATCTCAACTTTCCTAATCAATCTATCTTTGTCTAAGTCTGACAGATGGTCAATTATTTCAGAGAACAATTTGTTCCGTAGAATCAATAAGGCTGATTCCATTTATAGTTGCTCCTGTGGGTCTCAGGAAAATGAACTGAGTTTTGAATCTATATGTTATACACAGTGTGTACATATATCACATGTACATGAGTGAGAATATGGACATATTTTGCCAGTAGATTTTGGCACAATTGTAACACGATCCTACTCTTGTAATCCTTTTTGTAGAATTAGGTAATGAATATTGAGATTGAATCTAGCAAGACTCATGAGGTCCATTCCGTGAAGGCTGTCTCTGCCACCTACTCAATTTTGGCAACGCACTAAGTCATGGGGTATTGAGAAAACACAACCCATGCCCTTGATTTTGTGGCATAAAAGCATATTATTTTTCTTCCTCAATGTAACATTCAGATGATGATAATAGTCCCATGGATGTTTTGGCAAGAGAGTCTTATGAAGCAAAAAAAGTTTTTTAAAAAACCCTGTTCATTTAACATTATTTCAGACTTGAAATGGAAGTGATATGTACAAGAGAAAAGGGAAGGGAATTCACATGATACGGTAATTGGAGTTGTTAATGGGGAGCAAGCTTAAGGGCCAAACGTAGTGAACACAAATCTATTTTAATGTTTTCTATTTTATTCTTTCAAAGCAAGTTTTGTTTGATTTTTTTCTCCCATGAGATTCTTTTTGTACAGCTCACACTTTGAGAGCATTCCTACCAGCAACCTAATTAGGTAGAAATGAAAATAATTACTATAATATTCAAAAATTGCATTTCAAGTATTACCAAGTGTTGACCTTATCTCCTAAGTTTTGGTGTAAACTGGACTTGTCCTCGGCAGTGATGTTAAGTGGACCTTCATCACCCACCCTCTCCTCTTAGTGCATGGTACCCATGTGCACACGCACACACGCGTGGGTGCTTCTGGGCTTTCATACAAGTCTGTCTCGCCAACCCTTTATCCACTCATGGGGCTGCGATCGCTTATCATAAATCATCTGAACACTTGCACACACATAGGCAAAGCTTTCTAATGTACTTGATTAGGAAAAGTCCTCAAAAAGCATTATTCAGAGGAAAAAAGAAGGGGAAAACTCTCCCCCCAATCCCCACTCTTCTCCCCTGCAAGACTTCCCAAGGTTCTGCAGAGCCCTGGCTGTCTAAGCCGTCTCTGCACTAAGAAGAGAGAAAGGCGTGGAGGAGGAAGGTTTACTTGGTTTTGCAGTAGGCCACCACACACATGATGCCAACCACAAGGAGAGCGATGCAGATGCCAGTGATGGTGAGCACTCTCTTCTGGTAGAGCTCCTCCGCTTCTGGAAAGGGAGGACAACAGATGTCACCAAAGGTCACTTACACTCGCCAGGACTTACTACAACTGAACAGTTGGCATGCTTGCATGACATTGTCCATGTTCCACAAGAAAAATAAATACATGATAATTCTTTACATTTACAGACATATCTAAGGTACGACATGCTCTGCACTATGCTTTGAGCATCAAAAAGCCAGCTGGGGCCATTTACCATAAAAATACTATACTCTAAAATTACTCTAATTATAAGCTACAGATAAATACGTGATATTAAACTGGCAAATCATGAACATTAATTATAAAATAACTATTTGTTTAAAACTCTGTAGTTTTAATTTTTAAAAAATATCTTTCAAAAAAAAAAAAATCTCTTGCAAAGACAACAGGAATCAACACCCATAAAAGGAGCTGGGACTGGCATCACTGGGATCCCCTCCCACCTTCCTCCTTCCTCCCTTCTCTACCCCCTCCCCCCAGCCTCCTTGTGTTTCCCAGCTATTTTATATCATCACTTTATATCCAGTGGTCTTTACAAAGAGTCATTTCTAACTTAAAAAATAATACATTCAAAGACATTTGCAAACATGAACTTGGCTTGTAGTTAGCAAGTAAATGGAGTCCTGCTCTCTATGATTTAACAGTAACATATGAACGTAAGAAGCAAAACAATATAAAGTAGCAGGGCACTGTATCAAAGAAAACCCAATATGGTGGGTAAGATAGCTCTGGGCCCAAATGAAGATTGGTCCTTTGGAAGACAATTCTAATTACTTCACCAATTGTACTTAGAGGACAGATTTATTTGTATAAAGAAGTCACTAGTGCAAATGATATGTGTGATTTGGAACAGAGTGCACATTTCTACATTGGCCAACTTGGCAAATTAGCTAATGTAGGTTATGCTAAGAAAATGTGATGCTTAGAACTTTGAACTAAAGGTAAGACTGGACCCCAAATGCAATCACGCTGTAATTCATGGAAGTTTTTCTCTTTGCAAATTAGTTTCTTTGGGGGGATTACTTGATTATACTAAGGTAGGTCAAGTTCTTAACAAGATTTGCTGATTTAGCGGAGACCCTGATCGCTCAGGACCTGCACTTCCAACCAGTCTAATGACATTTATTGGAAGATCTTCACAAGTTCACTCAGAAAGAGAACTCAACTGGTACATAATAAATAGTGTAAACCGATGACTTGCCATTTTGATTAATAGGCTGGTCAAGAACTGGGGAAAACTGTGTGAATGGTGCTATCTTATCTGGACATTGACAAGGGACCGTCAAAGAATATTTCTATTTTCCATCTGCAGTCTCGGCAACTGCACCTCTTTCTCTTTTGAGAGAGGGCAATGTGCAAGACGTTTTCTTGAAATGAAAAAGTGAATTTTAATTTCTATGATACAGTGGACCTTATCACGAAACAAAACATTTCCTACAAGCCGAGCCCACGATCATCAAATTCCAGTTAACAGGTCAGGAACATGGTCAAATCAAATTAATATAGCACTGATTATTAACAGGAGGAGGAGGAGAACAGAAGTCAGTGGCTAAAAGACTAGAATGCTGCCGAGATCACACGAAAACAAATCAAAAGGGTTGGAGGCGGAAAGGAAAAACAAACTGAGAGGACAGACAGACTGACAGAATGACAGAGAGAGCGAGGAAGTAAAGTACAAAGGAAAACAAGGTTAAAAGGTAAGGAGCCATCTGAAGTCCCTGGCACAGCATGCCTGATACTAAGGGAGGAAAAATAAATAAATAAAAGAAAACCAGAGGGAGGGAATGCTCGGATGGGAAGAAGAGGTGAACGCAAAGTTGGAAGGGTCGTCCCATACAGCATAACTCCTAACCTAGGCTAGCGGGCACGTGGAAGCCACAGTTAGAAAGCAAAGCAGCTGGTGCACTGAGTGTCGAACAATGTATCAGGACACACACAGCTGGTGTTGCGGATTTTTTTTTTTTTTTTGGTGCAGCAAAAGTCAAATGAGGACATGGCATGTGAGCGCTTATGTGTTAATTGCTTGTGTCTGCTGCCTTCCCTGCCCCATAGCCACAGGACTGGGGATTAATTTCTATGAGGTGTTATCTGTGAGCTGATGCCACTATAGCCTCCCTTCTTGACCTTGGCCTCCTGATCAGTTTTGAGTATATCTATCTAAGAAGAACTATCACCCCACTGGTCCTCTTCCCTGGGACCCAGGACGCAGAGCAGAGCTCCTTGGGCTGTGACGCTGTGATGAGCTGGTGAAGAAACAGGAACGTAGTATTGTCACCAAGAAAATAAAGGCCCTGCCGGAATCTGTCCTCTTTCCCTCACTCTATTGTTTTCCTCTTTTCAAATGGTAAGGCTGTGGTCACACTTTTTCACTGACATCTTATCATCCTATCTTTACAAAAAGCTGGGAAACTCTTCTGCAAAATTCAAAATAGGGGGAACAGCCCAGGAATGAAGGGGACAAAAAAGGCATCATGTGTGTTTTTCAGGGATTCTTTGGACACGTTTTCTTTTGGCTCCTTTGTTAATTACAAAAGAATAGTTTGAGTTGGGTTTGAGAACAAATGGTACCTGAAGACTGGCTTATCCTTCCCGTGCTATGTAGAAAGACCCATATTTTCCAGTAAAATGATTATTTCATGGAAATAAAAGGCAGCTCAAAAAAGGCCAGAGGGTAATGTAAAAAGTCTTAAAATGAGCCAGCTCAAGCCAAGGCCCGTAGAATACGGATGTGCCATGAAAATTCTGCGTTCACATCAGCAATTATTAAATGCATTACAACTCTCGTCCAAATTTCTGTTTGAGTTGTTCACAGCCTTGGTAGATCAGGTGACCCAACGATATGAATGTGCTCAAGGAAAAATACTTGGTGAACAGTAATAGGAACCATGGGTTCTTTTAACCTCTTTTTTCTCTTATGTTTTCTCATGCATCAGGTCAATTGGACAAGAGCAAATTAGACACAGATAGAGCTAAAAACAAGAGTCAGTCAATCCAATTGGTGAGTTTGTCTTAATGGGCAGAAATGCTTCTGAGTCTTCCTGGTTTGGCTGGACTACAGTGTATCCAGATCAGGCACATTTTTCAGTCTGATCCGGCCTGGCCAAGAGACAGAGCCTTTATCTTTCTCAGTTTTAATTGACCCGTAAGGTCTGATTTTCTTTAAGGACGCGAACTACTGGCTTAGTACACTGGCTGGCACAGAAGCATGAAGCTTCTGGTAAGTGTGCCTGGAAGACTGTCTTTACTAACCTGCGAAATATCTTACAGAGGGAGAAGTTCTATATGTGAACTCTCCTTTCCTTCATTGTTTGGGAATAGAAACATGAAATTCTGTAGTTAGACCCTAAAGTGATTAAATGAGAAATATGCCATTATGGATAAAGGAAATTTATCCATATGGTGGTATTTTTTCCCTCCCTGCAGGGAAAGCCAATAAGCCTTTTCAGAAGTGGGACAATTTTTGTCCCAAAAGATAACTGACCTCACAGGGACTGCTAGTAATGCTGGTGTTCCCTCTTGCAGTCCTCACTCTTGGGAGAAGTCCTCTGATACACAAAGGCCCGTTCCCATAAATGTGGGGGTTTTCTCATCAAATTTTCTCCCAGAATTTTTAGGCAGATGAATGGGCAATTAATTGTGCTTTTATCCCTGTGGCTGCCAGAGCTTGCAACTGCCTCATTTGCCACAAATTATGGCAACTGCATCGGGTGCAGACTGTGATGTTATCATCCAAGAGCAGGCAGTGGCTGTAGGGTGCCCTTAATGCATGATGCCACTGAAACCAACCGGATGGGGATCAGGTATTCTGGTAATCAGGACATTGCATTGTTGACCCAAGCCATGCCCCAGGGCTGCACCCAGCGTCTAGAAAGACAGGCTGCCTGGCCCCAGAGAGTCCCTAGGAAGGTAGCATAGCTTCCTGTTCCCCCTAAGACTGGCTTGTTCTCGCACCTATTTAGGATAAAGGCCTTTGGAAGGAGCATGCCCAAATTTCATATACTCACAGGAGATTTTTCTTTTTATGTTTACAGTGTGAAATTTTCTATTTGATTACTTGCCTGGATAATCTTAGTGACTCAAATTTAATTTCATTACCACTGGAATTTCTACTTCAAATAGCACAAGGCTTCTTTCTTTCTGTTTTCTATTTCCTTGCTCATAAGATAATGAAGTTGACCAGAGTCATGCTTGAATATCTCCAGAAAATCTGCGTAATTCAAGTCTGTGCATATAATATTGTGTTGTAAGGGCTTTCTATGTCTATTAAATCATCCATATGAAAGAGATGATTTTTACATTGTGTGTCAAACTCCCATCAATTGAAGATGTAGTGTGTTTCCTATGCAAGTGCATGTAAAACTCCTTTTGTTCTCAGGTTTGGTATCTCCTATAGATATGCACCACTCTGACTTACCCCAGCTTTTGCAAAACGGCATAGCCAGATCCAGTCAGTGGGTTAAGCAAGGAGGGATATGTGTGAATTTGCAGCAGGTGAGGTCATTTTAAACTCTACGTGCAAGAAGCTTGGGAATCTAAAAGCTGCTGCACTCGGTGACATTTCAGTAAACTAATCATGGATCGAAAGCAGACAAATCATTGTTATAGCTGTATGATTCCCTTCTAAAGAAAAAGGAAATTAGTTAGGAACTGAAAGGTAAGAGGAGGAAGGGAAAAAAAGAGTTCAGCTCATAGGCTCTAAATTCTGCAGGCTAAAAGGAATGATGATTGGTCCATACCCATAAATTCAATCCCAAGATGCTCTGCCAATGCAGAAAGTTGACAAAAAAAAGAGAGAAAGGGAAAAAGTTTCAGAAAAGAGCAAATACACTGCACTCCAAAACACATTAAACATGACTATTACGGCTCTCTGTGCGTGCACGTTGAACCAGACAAATGGTGGGGGCGGTTAATGAAGCAGTGCTCAGGTATGCCTCCAGAGGGAACTTCCCTTTGTGAGAGGTGTGCAAACACCAGCACACTGTGTCTTTATTAACCCTTAAAAGA